TGCCGCGTAGTGAGCAACGTCGACGAGAAACAAAACCGCGCGCGATGTACGCCGCGCCCAGCTCCTCATCAACCAGCGTCGACGACAAGAAGGTCCATTTGACGAGCAGGCGTCCCCGCGCGATGTGCGCCGCGTCCCATTCCCGCTACGCGATTCGCAGCGCCGACGAGGAGAAAGTACATGTTGGCAAAAAAGAAACGTCGACGTTGCGGTGTTTTTTTTGACAGGTAGGACGGGGGGTCCCGCGTAGGGTTGGCCAGGCGTCCGCGCGCGATGTGCGAGGGGGGAGGTGGGAGGGGGTAGGGGGGAGGGGAGTGGTAGGTGTGAGCTGGAAGGGGACGGTGGCGGGAGGCGGCGGAGGAGGCGGGGAGGAGGAGGGGGAGCAGGATGAGGGGGAGGGGGAGGGGAAGGGGGATTGCGAAGGAAGAGAAAAAAAGGGAAACTGCGAAGGAAGAGAAAGAAAGGGAGGGAGTCGGGGGAGGAGGCGGGGAGGAGGAGGAGGAGGAGGAGGAGGAGGAGGAAGACCTGTGCAAGTCCAAGAGTCATCAGCGATGTCGGAATCAGCCCTCTCTCCAAGCTCCCCCTCTTCATTGGCATGCCAAAACACGAATCAATTTGACTGTTTGCGTCTTGGCGATCCTGGATCGCCCCAGGATGCCACCCCTGGGATTTCCATTCCGCGAATATGTTGCGTCGTAGCAATCCTGACTCGCTCCAGAACTCCGTTCCTGGTACGCTATCCATGCGAGCCCGTGAAACTCGTAATTTGAAAACGGATGTGCGCGGCGCTAAGGCGAGAGAACTACATTTTGAAAAGGAACCGCCCTCAATCCGTGAACTTGTTCTGCATTTGTGTACACCGAGCGTGCGCGACGCTATGGCGAGAGCCATATTTTGAAAATGGCCCGCCATCCGTCCGTGAAGGTTTGGCTGATGTTTGTGAAACGAATGTTCGCGGCGCTAAGGCGAGAGCCACAGTTTGGAAACGGCCCGCCCTCTATCTGTGAAGCGGCTGCCACTTGCTCTGTTTCAGGATCATCAGTGGTGAGGAAGTCTCGGGCGAAACGCCCAGGCCGCCTTTTCGATTGGCCCCGGGGTGCGACAGGGAGGAGTCGTTTATAAGGAAAAGGAACTGAGGAAGAGAAGGATGATAAGGAGGAGGAGGAATAAAAGGAGGAGGAGGAGGAGGAGGCGGAGGAGCAGGAGGAGGAGGAAGACCTGGCGCAAAAGACACCTGACCGCGCGACGGAGGCCGCGGCGCCAGCGACCACCCGCAAGCATCGCACCACGGGCACCATCGAAACCAAAACCATGGAGTACGGGGACCCACGCCATCATCGCGAGGATAATGAGATCCTGCTGGGCCACTGCCATGTCCGAGGTGCGAGACTTGACCCGCGATGTCGCGGATAATCGCACCACTATCATCGCCATAACCGTGCTGCTCTACACCGGCTGGCCCAAGCCGCGCACAAAGTGCAGGTGCACCTGGACGCCGACGTGGCTACGGCCATGGCCGCCTGCACTGGAGCGCAAAGCTACGTGGGCCACCAGCACAACTACGGGGGCCACCAGCGCAGCTTTGAGCGGCACCAGCAGAGCTACGGCGGACATCAGCAGAGTTGCGGCGGCCACCAGCACAGCTGCAGAGACCATCAGCGTAGCTAACGGCGGCCACCACCAGACCTACGAGTACCACCAGCAGAGCCACGGCGGCCACCAGCAGAGCGCGGCCTGGGCGCGCCGAGAAGGCGCCCCAGGACGTCTTCGGGGCCAGCGAGCAGGACTACCTCGGCAATTAGCGCGAGCTGACGGCCACGCACAGCACAGCTCTGGACCCATTGCCGACGATACATGCAACCTCGAGGCATGCTGCCTCGACATCGACTGGGAAACTACTGACGGGATTAGAACGAGGATAAGTCCGTTCCAAAGCGTCCCGGAACGCTCTCAGAGCGTTCCAGAACGCTCTGGGAAGGCCGCGGTGCCCGAGGCATCCTCCGAAGCCGCCGGATCTTAGAGATTCTCGATTCATCTTCGCCCGATTTAAACCTCGTCTTGGCTTCGTCGTAAAGCACGCCAGGCCAGGAAGTGTTGCGGCCGCGCGTCTGCCACCCGCACCGACAGCGAGCTGCGGGCTGCAGCCGGAGCCACCGCGAGCAACGTCGGCGAGTTCGAGAGGCAGCGGGCAGCGGCCCCCCGCCGCGCGCCGCCCAGAGGAGGGGCGGAAGATGAGGACAAGGAGGAGGATTAAGAAAATAATCGACAAGTCCTTGATCTGCAGAGACCCACTACGAAAACAGACATACAGAAAACAAAAAAAACATGCCAATGGAGAAAAACAACTCTACAACGACATCCTTATGCTTTCTACGCTGAACTACAGGGACCACGTATGAATCAACTTCACGGGGACCAACAACAGGAAGTACGCAGTGAAGTACATGAAAGGGTACCAGCAAGACAAACGCCATCACGCGACTGATACCAGCGCAACACAAACATCCAACCTCAAGGTACTGGCGACCGTCAACCGCCTGCTTCCGACTGGCAAGACATGCGCGCCGACTGCGTTAGTTACTTACCGCGACTGCTGTCACACGGACCTGCAATGCTCGTGAGTCTCGTTGATCTAGGTCTCCACTGCGAGGCAAGCTGGGCCAACGAGATCAAGGATGACATACGATGGATGCGCAGGTACTTGTACAACGCGGAGCAGCCAACCGAATCAACCGACATGCACGAAGTACTTCTAGTAGCAAAATCCGATCCAACGAGTTTCGCACTCGCAGTCAAGACAGCGGCCGCACGGTATCTACGGCGGCACGCAGACCAAACACACCAAGAGCAGTGGCACCACGCCCTCGCACCTTATCCGAACACCGATGGCATGCCAGCCAGCACTACCGACCGTGCCGCAACCGTCACCGCAACCAAGGCACTGTGCTATCATAGCGATCTTCTACAAGAGGAGCGCTGATTACACACATCTGAGAAAGCTCCACAAAAGCTGCACACACCCCACAAAATGGGCGCGAGGAGCCATAGGCAAGACCTGTAGCTACCAGTGCCGTCCTTACGCACGACTCGTCAAGCATCTCCAAGCGACCCCATCATGCGCCGTGCCATGGTCGTTTGCAGCCGAGTCATTCAACGACGAGGAAAGTGTCAGAAAACTGGGGGAACATACGCACGTCCCAGCGTTACAACATCAAAGCAGGCAGACCACCTGACTACGCCCAAGTCCCGAGCTACAAGACTGACAGATTCCCGACCTACATCAGCGACAACATTGCAGCTCACAGCTAATTACCACCAGCCGAACTTCCAGACGCCGACCCAAACGCGTGCAACCCACGAACGCAATGGTCCATAGGAGCTTCGTCCTGCACCTCTACAGCTGCCATCGACGAGAAGGGGACTTGCAGGAGTGGGTGGAGCACCTCCTACCACCGATCACATCTATACACCCTCTTGATCGGCATCGCCAGCGACGACAAGGCAGGCGGCCTGGCGAAATTGAAGACCGTCGACTTCTGGATCAATCGAACGAGGGGCAAGACAGTGGCCGCCATCATGGCGGGCCCACCATGCGAGACCTGGAGCGCAGCAGTGGCCCGCGGCATTCCTGGTGCGAAGTGCCAGCCACGACCCCTTCGAAGCCGAGATCGACCACGGGGGCTGACGTACTTGAAGGACGAGGAGAGCAACCATATCGACATCATCGACCTCGGCAACCAGCACTTGCGCACCACAATCTCGCGTTGCACGTCGGATGCGCGATTGGAATGCCCGCCGCCATGGAGTGCCCAGAGACAGTGCACGATAGCAGGCAGGCACCGAGCAGCTGGCTGCTACCTGAGATGCAATATCTACTGCGCCGACCCAACGCACGAATGGTATCCTCCGACAAGTGCGCGCTCGAGCAAATCGCCCACAAACCGGCGAGCCCCCTAGCAGTTCGGGGGTGCGAGGGCTACCCGCGCGCACATTTGCGAAACCCAACCGACGCACATGCAACCATGGCGATGGGGCCCATCAACCACTACATGGGCGGAACGCGGATGGGACATGGCGCAGCAAGATGCACCCCGCGGAGCTCAGAGACATGCAGGCATCCTCGCTATCCGGGGCCATTCGGCACAGATGGACTGCGTTGCCAACTACTGACGAGTGGACCATCGAGGACAGCAACGCCGTCTTCCACACGCCACTAGACCCGCGTTTCGAATTCAAACGGCAACCACGCAGCCTGCGCCTCCTGCGACGCGGAGGCACTGGGACGCCACCCCGACCGCGTCAACATCTAGAGCAGCGTCGTCATAGCCGCGACCCCGAGTGCTAAGGGGCAGCTAGCTAACTGTGCGACCCACGCAACTCGCGGCATGTTCCTTGAGGCAGGGCTAAAATTCAGCGATGCGCAGCAGGGGTCTCGCGCGCCTGACCTAAGAGGAGGCCAGCCCGCCAGTCGAATGACACGGGCGCGAGACAACAGCAGGGGGGACACATCCAGACCATCAAACCGCCACACACATGATCACCCTTTTCCCCCCGAAACGGGCGCAAGGTACCAGATGCTGCTGCAGAGTCCACCACCATGGCGTGGCAATTCGCGATGGAGCTGCCTGCGATGGAACCAGCAGTCGACCTGGCACGGAATCAACAGCGCGGCAGCATAATTGAACCGTGCATCGCGACCATGGACTACAAGATCTGCAACTTCAGCCCGAAGATCACCTTCGCGCACCAGGCCAATACCAAAGGACACGGAAAGCCTTATAGTCAGGAAACGCTAATAGAGTGCCACAACTCATTCAGGCACCGCGGAATCGCACCAGCAGCAGCGGCTGAACTGCAACAAGACGCTTTGCCAAGGCTGTTACAGGGCCAAAATATGCGACCTGGAACCGAGATACTGGGGTGCATGCCACCAGAAGACCCACGACTCGATCCCGCTTTCGCTACGGCAGCGACACGGGCACCTGACTGAGCACGAGAAGGCATCCAGTCCGCGACCCGGATCAAGGAGCGCACTTACGCGCCCTTGGATGTCGGACAAGTCTACATCCCAGCCAACATCCCAAAAGGATGGATGAAGACCTTCTACCCACACCGCTACGCGCTCGCCCACGTGGCCGCCACCAGCGAGCCGCGAGAGATCTACCGCGGAAAAGGGCGACGCGGCGATGCGCGAGTTCTTCGACAGGAACCGCATCCTCCCCAATGTCAACCACATGGACCTACGCTACGCGGCAAGACCGGCCCACATACCATATTACAGGAAAGCAGCGCGGGCACGCACCGACGAAGACGGCCAGCTCGAATCTACGCAAACACGCGCACTGATTGCCGCGTTGCCATGGGAACGGGCCAGGGACCTGGCGGAGAGGAACTTCATCTACCTGATCCCCCCACAGCTGGGCCCACGACGAACCGACATGGACAACGTCGACCAGATCCACGAGCTGCTGTCCGCGCAGGCGCAGAAGAGGGCAGACTTCCAAGACGCCGAGCACAAAGCAATCCGCTCGCAGAGCCTCGACGTCGGGCACATCCTCCACGCGACGCGCCAGGGGCCAGAGCGAAGCCCTACCCCTCCTGATTCACTTGACCGACACACTCGCCACCAGGGGAGCCAAGGGCATGAGCCCTCGCAGCGACATCCTATTCTTCGACAAAAACAACTTCCACATGACGCCTCAGACCCGAGCAGGCCATCACGCAGAGGCGGGGGGACCCAGTGGCGATCCAGTCCCCATGGTCGTGGCCGCCGACGAGAAACTCCATGACCTGCAGAACTACAGCGCGGCCTACAGGGCGCCCACCAACCGCTACGACGAGACCCATGCGAGGTGCGAAATACACTTCGGCCAGTTTTTGAGCCCTCAAACGGCATCCCGACTTTTTCAAGGCGCGGCGTGGCACGCGCCAGCTGATGTCACCTGCGACAGGGGGATCGCGCGCCATCGCGCCCCAACCTGCGGGCCGCCACAAGTGGAAGCAACCAGGATTATGAGACCGCCGCGCCGTCAGCCAGACCCTTGGGCGGAACCAGCTAGCATCCTTCTCTGCGGCTGCACGCAGACACTCGTCGCCGACATCCAGAACCTGATTTCGCACATCGCTCCCGACATCCGCCAAAAAGGCCACCGCATGCTGGGGAAACCGAGGACACCCCATTGCGGAAACCACGAGGGCGACTACGAGGCGGAGACTCAACGCGCATTCCCACAAGCACCACCATTCCATTCCACAGCAACGCTCAGATTGCAAGACACGAACAGCCAAGACATGAGCGAGCTACTCCAGCAATGACGAAGACAACCAGCAGGGCAATTTCGGCCCATCCGAACCACCAGGCGCCCAAACAGGCCCAGCCTCCACCGCCGCACAATCCGCCACCGCTATTCTTCGCGCCAGACTATCCGACATGGAGTACACATGCGCTCGACGAAGCAACCCGACGCGCCGGATTCCCTGGGGGATTACCACTAGGCGTAGACCGACTCGAGGAAGCAGTCGACAACATTAGCGATAGCGATGTGACCGACCTGAAGCGCTCTGACACCGACAGCGGCCGCCTCGCGCGCGCAGCTACTCCTCTCCAGCCAAGACGTCAACCTCGGTGTCCAGCAGGGGATGCTCATGATCATCGCAGAAATTCGCCCAGTTCAGCCGCACTCCGCAACGATTGACCGCGTGAACACCGTAGCTCAAGGAACAGATAGCAAGCTCCGCCGGTGACTACACTACTACCCGACCCGTTGGCCGCCCCCGACCACGGAGCACGGAGGGCACGGCGTTCTCCGGCCACGAGGGACCAGACATCCCGAAGTACGCATCCATCCCAAAGGCAGCGAAGCACCAAAGGCGGCAACACAAATGACGCTTACGCACAGAATGAAACTGACCACAGCAGGCGGCGCTTGCGGCAGCCGCCATGGCAGGAGGCAAAGCCACTTCCGACCAGTGCAGGAGGAGGAGGAGGAGGAGGAGGAGGAGGAGGAGGAGGAGGCGGGGCGGCGGCGGAGGAGGAGGAGGGAAAAAGGAGGAAGAGGAAGAGGAGGAGGAGGAGGAGGAGGAGGACGACGACGACGAAGAGGAGGAAACGGAGGAGGAGGAGGAGGAGGAGCAGGAGCAGGAGCAGGAGCAGGAGGAGGAGGAGGTAGGAGGCAGGACGCAGGGGGCAGGTGGCAGGAGGCAAGAGGCAGGATCGCAGGAGGCAGGATCGCAGGAGGCAGCGGCGCAGGAGGCAGCGGCGCAGGAGGCAGGAGCACAGCTGCAACGCGGCAGCAAAGATCACCCCCCCCTCCAGCCCAGGGGACCCTCGTTGCCCCCCTTCACAGCCAAGACGGCAAAGTAGGAACCGCTTTGGGCTCAGGAGGGGGCTCTGCGTTCCGGGCCACTCCTCGGATCCAGGTCGGGGCCCGCCGTGGCAGCAGGAAAGATCCTCTCGGTTCCTTTTCTGGCGCTCCTTGACGGCAGCACGACGAGTGCATGCTCCCTCCTCCAGGCCTCCCAGGGGAGCTTTGGGGGGGCGATGTGGTTTGAGGTGGCCCGTGCCCTGGTTCCCTCTGGAATTCTAGACGCTTCGCGTATCCCCACCAGCCCGTCCAGAAATGAGTCCCAGGGGAGTGGAGGTTATGAGGGAAGCGGGGGAGCATGCAGAAGAACAACAAAGGGCGGGGTGAGCCGCATATACCCCAAGAGGGGGAGGATGTAGGAGGAGCCGTCGTCGTCGGAGTAGGAGGAGGAAGAGGAGGAGCAGGAGGAGGAGCAGGAGGAGGAGGAGGAGGAGGAATAGAAGGAGGAGGAGATGGAGGACTGCGAGGACGAGGAGGACGAGAAGGAGGAAAAGGAGAAGGAGGAGGAGGAGGAGGAGCAGGAGGGGGAGGGGGAGGAGGGAGGAGGAAGAAAAAGAGGAGGAGGAGGAGGACAATGGCGAGCTTGGGGGCCTCTTGGGCCGTCTTTGGGGCCTCTTGGCGGTCCTGGGGGCCTCTTGCGTATCTCGGGGGGCCTCTTGTGGCCTCTTGGGGGTCTCTTGGGGGCCTCTTGGAGGCCTCATGGGGGCCTTTTGGGGCCTCTTGGGGCTCTCTTGGGGCGCTCTTGGGGCGCTCTTGGGAGCCTTCGAAGCGCTCTTGGGGCCATCTTGGAGGAGATCTATCAAGGAAGGGGGGTTCCCCAATTAGCGCTGCCCCTCTAGAGTGCCTCGAGTCGCCTCTTGGGCGCCCCAAGAGGCCAAAATCCTTCCAAAACCTAGGTAAAATCAATGTGTGTTGCTTTCTCGCCTTTTCGCTCTTGGAGCCGTCTTGGGTCATCTTGGACTCTCTTGGGGCCTCTTGGGGGTCTCTTGGCAACGTCTTGGAGGCTTCTTGGGGGCCTCTTGGGGTCTCTTGGGGCCGTCTTGAGGCGCTCTTGGGGCGCTCTTGGGAGCCTTCGGGGCGCTCTTTGGGCCATCTTGGAGGAGATCTATCAAAGAAGGGGGGGTTGCTTATTAGCCCCGGCCCTCCAGAGTGCCTCGAGTCGCCTCTTGGACCCCCCCAAGAGGCCAAAATCCTTCCAAAATTTAGGTAAAATCAATGTTTTGTGTTTTCTCGCCTTTTCGCTCTTGGAGCCGTCTTGGGTCATCTTGGACTCTCTTGGGGCCTCTTGGGGGTCTCTTGGCAACGTCTTGGAGGCTTCTTGGGGGCCTCTTGGGGTCTCTTGGGGCCCTCGTGAGGCGCTCTTGGGGCGCTCTTGGGAGCCTTCGGGGCGCTCTTTGGGCCATCTTGGAGGAGATCTATCAAAGAAGGGGGGGTTGCTTATTAGCCCCGGCCCTCCAGAGTGCCTCGAGTCGCCTCTTGGACCCCCCAAGATGCCAAAATCATTCCAAAACCAAGGTAAAAACACAAAGAAAACAAAAAAAAAAAAAAAAGAACAAAAAATAAAAAAAAAGAAAAAAAAAAAAAACAACACAAAAACAATCCATGTTTTGTGTTTTCTCGCCTGTTCGCTCTTGGAGCTGTCTTGGGCCATCTTGGACGCTCTGACACCTCGCGACCGGCCCCGTCCAGGTCAGTGGGGAGGGGTAAGGGGAGGGGTAAACCCCTCCCCGAAGGGGAAGAAGGGGGTTGGCAGAGGAAACTCCCTAGACCACCTACGCCCTAAAGGGCTGGTGGGATTTCTCTTGTTTCCCTCCTCCTCCTCCTCCTCCTCCTCCTCCTCCTCGTCCTCCTCCTCTTTCTTTCTCCTCCTCCTCCTCGTCCTCCTCCTCCTCTCCTCCTCCTCCTCCTCCTACTCCTACTCCTACTCCTACTCCTACTCCTCCTCCTCCTCCTCCTCCTCCTCCTCCTCCTCCTCCTCCTCCTCCTCCTCCTCCTCCGTCCCGTGTCGTTCCCCTCGCGTTCCATCCGGGAGCTTTCTTTTCCGCCCTCCCAAGTTGGGTGGGGCGCGCCCACGTTTGGCGAACCGACCTTGAGGCTGACAGCGTCAGGCGCCAGTTGGAAGGATGGAGGGGACAGGAGAAGGAGAACAAAGAGGATTAGGACGATGATGGGAATACTGATGATGATGCTGATGATGCTGATGATAATGATGATCATGATCAAGATCATGATCATGATCATGATCATGATCATGATCATGATGATGATGATGATGATGATCATGGTATCAATGATGATGAAACTGCTGATGAATATGATGATGGTGATGATGATGATGACGACGATGATGATGATGACGGTGGCGGTGTTGATGATGCTGATGTGGAGGATGATGATGAAATGGTGATAATGATGGTGCTGGTGATGATGATGATGATGATGATGCTGATGATGATGATGCTGATGATGATGATGAATGATGATCATGATGGTGATGGTGATGGTGATTTGATTGTAGTGGTGATGTTGTTTTCGATGGTGTTGCTCATGATGATGAATACGATGATGCTAGTGATAATGATGATGCTGATGATGATGGTGATGATGATGATGGCGGTGATGCAGATGATGCTGATCCTGATGCTGCTAATGCTGATACTGATGATGATGATAATGCTGGTGGTGATGTTGATGGTGGTGGTAACGGTGATGGTGACGGTGACGGTGATGGTGATGGTGATGGTGATGGCGGTGATGTTGATGCTGATATTGGTGATTATGGTGCGGAAGATGCAGGTGTTGATAATGTTGATGCTGTTGCTGGTGATGAGGGTGAATGATGAGGAGGAATATGATGTTGCTGATAGTGATGATGATGAAGACGGCGACGAGGACGATGACGATAATGACGACGACGATGACGATGATTATGATGATGTTGATGGTGATGATGATGATGCTGATTATGATGATGATGATGACGAGGGTGCGCCGCTGGATCCCCCCCAGGGGGGGGGGGGGGGGTTGGGGTGGGGTTGGGGGGGGGTTTTTAGGACCCCCCTCCCCCTTCCCGATCCGTCGTCGGGGAACCCCCCCCCCCTCTCCCCCTTCCCCGATCCGTCGTCGGGAACCCCCCCCCCCTCCCCCCCTTTCCCCGAGCCAGCCGTCGGGAACCCCCCCCCCCACCCCTCCCACCCCCTTTGTCGAAAAGGGGGGTGGGGGCCGACCCCCCCCCCTCCCCCCCCTTGGGCCGCAACCCCCCCCCCTCTCCCCCCTTTCGCCACCGCCCCCCTGAATCCGGAACCCGACCCCCTCCACCCCCTTAACCCCTAGTCCTCCCACTAACCACCACAAACTCCACCCCTAATCCGACCCCCAACCACTAACCCCAGCCCCAAAGAGCACTCACTACTCATTACGCACTACCCACTACTGGCTACTCGCTATTCGCTACTCACTTCTCACTACCCCCAACTCACAACT